TTCATTATTCATGGATTTTTTTTTTTTTTTTTTACTGTGGAGTCCTTAAAATGGATATGTCTGTTTGAATGCTACAGTTTTTAGAGTTTTTTTTCAGAATTTTATTTTTAGGAAAAGGTTGCTTGTGGTATGTTTAAAAACTCTTCTCTTTAGTGCCTATAAACAACACTTACTGTTAGGTTTCTTAATTGTTACTGTTTTTTTTCCGCACATACTGAATTAATTTCTGTTCATTGTAGAATATGGATGGTGGAGTATACATAATTCAGATAACAGAATGGGTGCTATTTGCTGAATAAAAGCTCCTTTCAGTATACATATGGGACAGTCTTTCAGTTCAACATGCCAACCTTCTTTTAGACTGCTGAGAACAAATTTTGTAAACATGCAACATGTATATTTACATTTATTGAGCCACTGGCTATTGCTTATGCATGCAATAGGGAGATAAGGCTGTCTTAGTCTGTGGGTAGTTTTCCAAATGATTCATTAACTGTGCTTTGTAATGGTAGATGGATGTCACATATTTGCTGTAATAACTCAAGATTAATGTCAGTTACTCTGGCTTGTTTGAGCATTGTAATAGTTGTGTTTATACATGCAGGTATTCTTTGGAATATTTTTGGAGCTACTATTTCAAAAAAAAAAAATGGAAATTAATTAATTGTAGAATATAGGTGAAGTTATGACAAAAGTATTTCTGAAACATTATTTGTAATGTAGGAGTTACTATAATAGGTATTTGTCATTGATTGTAGGAAGGGCTATACCAAGCCTTTTGGTAACCACTGTTTTGCAAAACATTGGCAAAGCTTATGCTGTCTTCCTAAGAAGCAAAGCATTTCTTTGTGAAATCTGTCAAACTAAAATACCTTGTACTTTGCTGATGCATTACCATACTGAGAAAAGGAGTACACCAAGAAGTCACTTTTAAAAGCAGCAGTCTGAGGAAATATATCCAGAAGTTGAAATATGGGTTGCCTTTAACTTATAAAATTGCAGTCTTTTAATTTGTCCAAGATAGTATTTTTTTCTGTTATAAATATAGCCTCCAATAATTTGAATATTCTAAATTATCAATGTCTATGAACAGTAACTACAGTTTATTCTTCTTTTAAGATACTCTTGTCCTGTATCTAGAACATGGTGTTGCAGTATTGAGAGTCTGGCAAGTTGTTGACAAAAAAAAAAACACCCCAAAACAAAAAGCCTCTTTATACCAGTAGCATGTGAATGTCATCGCACATGACGTTTGCACTGTAATATTTCAAGATCAGTAGTAGCTGCCTAAATTGGGTCAGAGAAGGTTTACAAAAGCATAGAGATGTTGCTAATTTTAAGTGGCATGCACAAAGGTGTAATACTAATCTTCAAAGGATAAATGTATATTTTGTTTTTAAAAAAATAACATCAGGGTTAAGTCACTGTTAGCTTTTCCACATTTATTTCACCTGTATCAAGATTAGTCCTTGATGAGTTACTTACAGGCTCCTTAAATATTTTTGTAGAATTGAATTACAGCCCAGTACTTTAAAAAAAAAAACCAACCTTATTACCAGTAATTAAAACATAATGAAAGTTAAATGTGTGCTCAGAAAATGAGAGTATCTATTTCAAAAATGTTCATATTGTGACACAAGTATTAAATTAAAAATTCAAGTCTTAGTGTTGTGGATAGAAAAACCAGCAAATGGCATGTTGAAATCTGTTCTTTGAATAAATAATGTTGATCCCATGTCAGTCAGCATATTATATAAGAGTAACAACTGCTTAATATTAAAAAGTCATTGACAGTAAATGTGCCTGTGCATGCACACTGAACTCTTAACATTGGCTTCAAGCTTCGGGCATGTAGGAGAGAGGACAGAATGTTTGGGAAGGAGAGCTTGGACTTACCTTTTTGTTAAGGTTAATAATTGAAGTGTTTTTCTAATGACCTGAATCCGTATGTACATCTAAAATAGATGTTATTCCTATGTGCCCATCAGAACTCCGAATACGAGCTCTGGTACATAACTCCTTGTGCACAGAAATCACTGAGTAAATGGAGACTAAAAATAATGCAGTAGAAAAAATTACATCTGAAATACTTTATCAAAAACGTTTTTAATAATTCTTCAGCATTTCTCTATCCATTATCTCTTTTTTATACAGAAAATCTATTTCCAATAACCTACAACTTTAGAATAATTTGAAGGGCAAATGAGTGCCTCGATTTTCCTTTCTGCTACTGAAAAATCAGGAAAACCTAATTGGAGTTGAGTGAGAGGAACTAGGAAGAAAACCTGGCACCTGGCGCAACATTAGTTTATGCCAAGATATTTTGATGAAGTATTATGTGCGGAAATGTACTTGTTCAAGAGCAGATTTTTACAGAGCAGCTTACTCTTAATGTTCTGAATGTGTTAAATATCTGAGCTGAATTCTGTTCAGTTGCTTGGAAGGTAAGCGTGCTGGAAATGTAACTAAAAAGACTTTGCAAAATGCGTTAAGTAGGACAACAGCCAGTTTGGAATTTTGTTTTCTTTCACAGATTTTAGAAGATCCAGGATTATCGTTGATCATGGGGAACTATAGATAGCTTTTGTGTCTGTTGCTAATAATAGATGATATACCTTCGTCAGTGCATTGTGCTGGAGTCCTGCTTCTGCTGTAACTGAAACCAGTGGTGTGGTGTTCCTCTCAGCTTTAGGGGGCCAGGATCAGGCCCTAAAATTGCAGTTTACCTTGTGGCTTTTTTATGTTGGGAATGATATGGTCAGATGATTTAAACACACATGGAAAGCTGCAGGTAACCACATCAGCTGCTTCACTCATCTTCCATCTTACTGTCAGAATGGGAGTTCACGCACACAATTATAATCAAGTTGGTGCAGATGCAGCGTAGGTGAGCATGTGGACCTCAGCCGAGGCACATTGCCTTGGGGTGCAAAACTCCAACCCCCCAGCAGGCTGTTGTCAAAGCTTGGGGTTGGGATCGGTGTCTGCTGTGGAGTCATGGAGGGGCAGAGATGAACAGATGATCCCGCTGGAATCCTGACCTAAACAGACTTAGCCTCACCTGAAGCATGTAGTAGTATGAGAGTACATATGTGTGTGGAATCAGATTGGAAAAGGAAATATGGCTGATAGAGGGTAAAAGGGAAAGTCTTGAAGAGTGCATAGGGCTGGTACAGGTTGAGGGAGGATGTCAGCAGTGCTTGGTGCCGTGTGGCTGGTGAAATTGGGAGGACGATTCTGGTTTGGATGTGTCAACTTTTTTTTTTTTTTTTTTTTTCTCCAAGAAGTTACTATTTTTGTGGAGTTTGTTTTCAAAATGCTTCTGCTGTGTGGTTCAAGGCCTTCCTGTTAAGCACAATGCGGCAAGGCTTCATTTTACTTAAAAATTGTTCAACCAAGTAGCTATTCCTGGGCTTGATAATAAAAAATAATGGTAATTCAAAACTTATTTCCATTAACAAAACAGGGAGTTATTTCCTAAATGCAGCATTAAACTAAGGCTGAAGCATTTCCATTTAAAATAAATAAATAAAAATAGAATTGACCAGACTATAACCTGGTTAGTCTGAGCCACCCTCATGCAGTTAATCTTAGAACAGACACCATTCTGTTCTTGGTGTATCCCCCCCACCCTCCTGAATTACAGACCACATCTGTCACAACATGTACTTCTCTGGATTTAAAAAAGAAAGAAAATTAAGTCTTGAGTAATTGTAGCCATTACAGGATGGCATGAGGACAGGATTCAGTGTGTGTGGTGGCTTAGCCGTCAGTTCTCTGGTGTTTGGCCCTGGGCAGTGGAGTCTCTTGCTTGGGGCAGTAGTTTGCTTCCACCAAGGCTTTGATGGAGGGATCCTCTTTGATAAGAGATACTCGTGAAGCTGCAAATCGCAAACATCACAACAGAGAGCAGGACCCACCATTTGCTTTGCTTCAGTTTATCCAGATACGAGCCTAAGATGATGGCCTTCCCTGTCAGCACTGGTGACAGCGAAGGCAGGCTGGAAGCCATAGTGGAGGCAAATACCTACATAGAAAAGGCTTAAAGTACCCTTTTTTTCTGCTTCTTTTGTCTGCCTGTGCAGTTTTTGGATGAAAACTTGCATTCTTCAGTCTTCAGCCTGCAGATAAACATGCAGGCAGCTTTGCTCACATGACCAGTGGCACTGGTGACAATGGGGCTACTGTCCTGTATGCGCTTTGCTAAGCTGGAGTCTTATTTGTCATTTTTTGGAAAGGTCTATTTGAGTCTCTTCTGTGAGAAATTGGGAGGTTCACATTTCAAGATAGATGTGCTTGTTAAAATTCCAGGCTGCACCTGGGCCTGTTAAGCCTTCCCTGATTAAACCTTTCTGATTCCAGTAAATATCTGAAGACCTTTGTATCTGTGAAGATTGCAAATCCAGGGCTTTATTATTTAAAGAGGCGTCAGGTAGTTAGTGAAAAATATAACTGGAGAATATAGGTCACCACTGGAACCGGTAAATGGTATGTCTTGGGACACTGAGTTTATTAATTGAAGGCAAGCTGAATGACGACACATTCCCTGGTTAATGTTGTTGTCATTGCACTCTGTGATACAGTTATTAAATAGGTAAAATATTTTACCTTTTCATATAGAGCCATACACTTACTTCATCTGATTTAATGGAACTATAATTTTAATTATGATTATTACCTTAAATTATAATTAAATTTATGTGGTTTAAATTTACATTTGTGAAAATGGCTGTGTGATGAAAGCAGAAATCAGCTTCGCATTAACAAAAAAGAAGTTTTTTTTAACGGCATTTTAGTTATATGCTCACAGCCAAAGACTAGCATGACCTACTTTGCAACAATAACAGAGGAATCAAGCCGGGTTTTTTTGTTGAAGTATCTAAATTGGCCATGAATGCTACCTACTCATTCGTTTGTAAGTATCTTTAAAAATAGCTATTGTATCTATGAAACTTAAGGTTTTTTTTTTTCCTCCTTCTCTTATTTTGATGTAGATAATTAGCACCATGGAGCCTCAGGTGTCGAATGGCCCTACTTCCAATACAACCAATGGACCCTCCAGCAACAGTAGAAACTGCCCTTCCCCCATGCAGACAGGGGCTGCTACAGATGACAGCAAAACCAACCTCATAGTCAACTATTTACCCCAGAACATGACCCAGGAGGAGTTCAGAAGTCTCTTCGGGAGCATTGGTGAAATCGAATCCTGCAAGCTCGTGAGAGACAAAATTACAGGTATGCACTTTGTATCATTGACTTTATCTGCATCAGGGTCACTTTACATTTGGGGTCAGCAAAACCTCAGTGCTTATATTTCAAGTGCTTAGCACAGGGAATACTGGAAATACTGTGGTAGACCTCTTCAGAGAGTAGACCTTCAGTTTTCAGTGATGCTCACTGACCCTACAACTGCTGTAGGAAGAAGCCCCTCATCTTTCAGCCTCTGTACAGATCTGACGTGGAGTACAAACGTTGCCATCTGCATGTGTGTAGCACACTGTAGCTCCTTGCAGTGGACTTCAGACGATAGCGTTGCTTTCCCAATCCATCTGTTTTATTATTTAACATTGACTTAGGTTGTAGGAAGGTAGTCTAAATGGCTTGAGCCAGCTGACCGTTCCTAGTTCTGACTGCTTTGTTTGAATCTTACCATACCTTTACCAAATTTTTCCATAGCAGCACTGTAAAGTCAAGGTGCTTCTTCATGTCCATCACAGCTTATTTACTGTGGCGTTCTGGAGTAGTAGTGGTCTGTAGTTGAGAGCCATTGCTGTGGCTTTCATTTGTGGATATTAGATAATGAAACTGTTCCCTGAAAGCATTTTAATTTGCCATGATCCTTTTCTGCATGAAGCAACACTTTGTTGGTAGGTACTTTCAGAGTAAAAGCTTCCCATTACTCATAATATCTCCAAGAGAGGAATGTCTTCAGTGTTGCTAGAGGAGATGTGGACAGGTGCAGATGCACCTAGCCCACTCTGTGTCCTCGCTGCCACCGCCAGGAGCTCACTGATGCACAAGGTGATGGAATGAACAACCAGCTTTTATAGCTTGCTTTATAGGGTAGTTTTATAGGTTGTGTGTCTACTCACACTGTAGGTGGTGAACAGCTGAAATTTCACTGCTGTTTGGTACATCACTGGCACTGGTATGTTTAGCACAGAGAGCAGCAGCCTTGGGAAGGAAAGAATTCCAGAAAAGGAGCTGTTTCCTCTCAGATACACTCCTGGCAACGTGGCTGTGTGCCCTGTGAGAAGAGGCACCATGTAAAGATGAGGAATTAAAATGCAAATCTTCATACCTGCTTCCCTAACAGCCTGGCAGCCATTGTACTGGCAGCATTAGGATGATCTGCTTAGTGGTCTTAAACATGCAATGCTTCTTTTTTTATTTACTTCTGACATCTAGCAATGTTCTGGTTGAACACGAGGCACATAACAAATGGCAGTAGCTGCAGGGCAGCTCAAGTCCACAAAAGTATCGTCCAGCAGAGCTTTCTTTAGCACGTTGACCATGATGTATCTATTTCAGTATATCTTCTGATTGGGCAACAGCTTCAGGGGTAGTAAAAGGAAGAAGACTGAAAAATGGAACTGACTTATGCTTTACTCTTTTCTACTTAAAACAAATCACTTATAACCTCCCACTCCAGAAATGTCCATGCAGATAACTAAAGTCCTCTTCTTTTAAGCATAGCTATCTCAATGTCCCACCCTTAATATCTACCACCCAACCAGTTTAGCTCCAGACTCTTTTTTCTTTTAGTCTGAAAATAATCTGAGAAATAAAATTGCAGGTTACTTCAATTATTTCAAACAAAAGTGAATACCTAACCCTTATCTGCAGAAGTCTAGTGTGCCTAGCTTGAATTTTTATCATGGCGGGTCCTGTATTTCATGAGATTTTTTTGCTTCCTCTATCCCTCAAATTCATGGTGATTTCCTTGCAATATCATTTCAAGATTTCAGATATTCAGTGTTGTTTTCATAGAGAATTGGCTGTATTTAGACAGAAAGCCATTACTTCACTGGCTAGGAACAGTATTCTTTTTGTTTCATTCAATCTCCAGGCTTTAGTCTCTGTGAGAAAGAAGATGTGAGAAATTTGTTATAGGATCTTGTGACATATTCTTGGGTATTTTTTTGCCTATGTTTTGTCTTTCTGTACGAAGTACATAAATCTTTTATGAGGAATAAAATTCTTTAAAGGAACTGTTCTTTAAAAAAACATACACAGATGCTGTGAGGACATCACCCCAAAATGGCTGGGGACCCTATGTGTTGTTTTAAAAAGTGATAAAAGTACAAAAATCACCAAACTTGCAAAAAAAAAATTGTCCTCCAAGGTATCTGTGCCACTTTTGAAAAGAGAGTTTAATCTGCCAAGGCTTTCAGGCCTGTTATCAAGGCATTGTGCAGTATTACTGCGTTTTAGGATGTGTGTTCTTTCCTCATGCTCAATTCAGAGTTAGTAAATGAAATGCATTCCTCTGCCAGAAGCAGTCCATGTTTTTAAAGGTTCTTAGAACACTGAAAACAAAAACTAAGGTAAAATATCAGGTAAATCAAGGAAAGCCAGAATAAAAAGTTAGCTGCAGAGAGAGGTTGTTTCAAGAACAATAGAAAAGGTCGCAAACCAAATCCTCGTCATTAAGTAGTTACCCTGGCAAAACCACATTAGAAAACCTCCCATGTATTTCTGAGCCTAGATGGGATTGAATTGGTTCATGTAAAAGATTTGATTTCCCCTGTCCTGTTAAGGAATTGCACAGATCTTATGAAATAACGTTTAGGCTCCCAAAGTACTTCTTTTTCAAGGAGTCGAAAGCTAAACAAAGCCTGTTAAACGTACAGGATCCCTTTGAATGAATTTATGACCTGAACTCCTGTGATAAATTTTAAAGTGGATTAAGCGATACGTCAGGACAAATCATTTGCTCCAAATCTTTTTGCAGTCTTAAAACAGTAGTAGAGTTTTTTAAGAAAATTGATTTATGATGCTACCCCTTGCTTTGGAAAGACACATGTTTAAACAAGCATATTCCTTTACTAAAAAATATGCTAATTTGGTAGTACACCGTACTGAGTTGAATAGGAATGACAGCTTCTAAGACAGCCTTTAATTTGGTATTCAAAACCAAAATTGTAAACTTCGGTTTTGTTTGGTAGCTTCTCAGAACAGGCAGGATATACAGTAGCATTTTAAAAAATGCTAATGACTTGAAAGGAGGTGGAAGTCAGGCATACATTTTAATTATGGGGGAGGGGTTGCAATAGAAAAAATGGATTTTTTTTTTTTTTTTTCGCTGCAGAGATTTTAAGGGAAGGAGACAAGGAAAAGCAGACAAGGAAAAGCAGACTGAAGATAGTTGCCTTCATTTGGCAGGGCTGTTTAATAAAAGCAGAACTTGTGGTTGTAAACTGTGCTTATTAAATTCTTCATTTACACTACCTAATTAATTCTAGCATTTTAAATTAACAGTGAAACTGGTCCCTGCTGTACCGTTTCATAGCTACAGCATATTTCGTCCAACAACCCAGTTGTTCAGGTTTAATCAGCTGCTCTCAAAAAATGAGAAGGAACTTGAATTTAAAAAAATCTAATTGGCATAAACATTTTAGAGCTACATTAGATGAAGGGAGGTGACTTCACAGAGGAAGACTACAGCTTCAGATGCGTGAGGCTCCTCTATTCCAAGCGACACTAAACTGTATAGTGTTGCGGATGTTCTTGATTTCTTATTTTGTCCAAAAAAAGCCAGTGATAAATATCTTCCTGACTTGGGGAAGGAGAGGACTTGAATTTACCAGAAATCTGAGAGAAGAAATGCTGAACTTGTTTCATCCTGTGTTTGAAAACAAAAGATCCAGTCAGAGTAGTGTCCATTGGAGACACTGTAATTGCTGCTGGCCAAGTGAGTTGTCCTTGCTGACATAGTTTGTGTGTGGGAGAAGGGGACATTTGTTATAAATTTTTTTTGCTTTTTAATTTATTTGATGACCTTAGCTGACCTCTTAAGAACTCTCTTTTTATTTCTCTATACTATGTGGAGAATTTACAGTTGCAGTTTACAAGAATTTACATTTCCAAATCTTCAAATGGTTGATATCTAAAATCTTTGGATCTCAATCTTTCATATCTTAGGACAATCCAGGCACACTGTGGAGCAGAATATTTATTATACAGCATTTCTGTGCATCACTTATGTTAGGACACGGTTTGCATATTCC